ACGAAAATATACTGGCCGATGACTTCTATATTTTCGGCAGCCGAACTGTCTTTAAAAAAAAAAAAATTATGTATGTGTTTCAGGATAAACATTCTTTGTGCCATCGATATTGTTGACAATGTGAGAATGGCGTGTCTTGTCACCACCAGAAAACTGCATTAGCTACCTGCGTTTCTGTCAAATAAACGATGTTGAACAAGATCAGTGTTTTGACAAATGATCACTAATGGAGGCCTGCAAATCTCGACCAGTAAACAAATACGTTGTTTACTTTCTTTCTCGGGGGGGGGGATGCAATGTTGAAAGGTCGTCAACACGACCCACTTCAGGGATTATGGACATGTCACGTTAAAACATCGGTTCCCGTACGATCAGCAATGTTAAGCTTGGTCAGTATCTAGAAGAGTGACCGCTTAGGAATACCGGACGCTGTAGGCTTGGGTGTGTCGGTGGTGTAATGGTTAATCAGCGAGCAGGGTTCCAGATCCAGTTGATTCGTCATATTCACTTACGCGCAAATATCCTTGGGAAAGGCATGAATTCAATCTTCCCAACTGATATGGCTTAATTAATAAGACTTGTACCACTAAATCATTCTTATCTCTAAAAAAAAATAAACTGATATTGCTTACAAAGTGTTTAGCTTTCGGTATTAGATAAACCATAGCGGTTGATATGCCGCTCAACCAAAAAAAATATTTCTTTTGCTTAGGAAATAAGCTCACTATGTCGGGCCAAACATTTTTTCGCGCCAGAATCTATCTAACATATTTATATTTCTACCATTCGTTCTTCTGCCTAATATTGCTGTCGTGACGCTCCAGTTTTATATTTACAAATTCTTGATAAAATCTGAAGAAGAATCTGCAATGTTATTGGTCCCGCCCTGGCATATCGACTTCAGCTCCTTTCCCCACCGCCGTAACGTAGCTTCATTATGTCTTTTCTATGAATATCTTCATGGTAATTGCTCAGATGACTTTTCCTCTATGGTAGCTAGACTTTATGAATTTAAGCGCAGTACTTGATTGGAGACAAGATCTCGTCATTTTACAGTTAAAATGGTTAGATGCAACCGTAAGTTCTATGCTAACAGTTTCTTCTATTACACTTCTCACTTGTGGAACTCTCATCCGGCTTTTTACTTTCCAGTCAATTTTGATGTTCAAATATTTAGATGCAATGTCAAATTGTTATCTACTGTCTTCCTGGTTACCTTTCTATTGCTCTCAACCCTTAATGATGTTACTACTTTCAAATTCTTTCACACTAAGTAACCTCTTCTCTTAGTGGCTATTCTGCTTTGCTAGGGGTAAGTCACTTTCCCCTCCAACGGAATGTAGCTTCCCTAAGCCTTTTCTATGAATGTTTTCATAGTTGTTCTGATGAACTTTTCCTCTATGACCGCTAGAGTTTATGAAGTTAAGCCCAGTTGTAGATTGGCGACAAACTCCCATCATTTTACAGTTGAAATGGCTAGACGAAACCGCAAGTTCTATGCTAACAGTTTCTTCTCGCTTGTGGAATACTCTTCCGGCTTTTTGCAGTCAACTTTGAGCTTCAAAAATTTAAATGCAATGTCAAACTTTATCTTCTGTCTTCTTAATTATTTTTTTTCTTTTCTTTTCCTCACTTCTTAATAGTAGTTTCTTTTTTCATATTCTCTAACAATCAGTCACCTTTTGCGTCTTAGTGGCTTTATTGCCTTGCTTGATCCACTTCTTCAACACCTGGAAAAATGACCCAAACTACTGAGTCGGATCAAAAAATATTAAGCCCAAGATTATTTACACACACTCACACACATAGACACAGAGAGAGTGAGAGAGAGAGAGAGAGCGAGAAAGAGAGAAACACACACACACACACGCACAAAAGAAATGTGGACCCTGGTTCATAGATGAACAATTTCAAAACAGAATTTCAAGATTAATTACTCACACACTCACACACACACGTACATATATATATATATATATATATATATATATATATGTGTGTGTGTGTGTGTGTGTGTGTGTGTGTGTGTGAATTAATTCGTCCTGGGTATGACGATAAACAACATCCGTGTCCTCGGTAAGACGATAAACTACGTCCAATAGCAAGTCCTCTGATCAGGAGGTTTTGAGGAGCGTGGAGCCGCCTCTTGATTGCTGGTATTCTCAGGTCCACCTTGACCCAGGGTGGTAGCACCTGTTAGGGTCCTAGCTGTGGGTAAATGGTTGACTCCCGGGCTGGAATCAAAGCACTGTGAAAGTGTAAAATTAGGTTTTATTAACAGAAATACTTTGAGAAAAAAAAAGGTATTACCAGCAATACACTTTGGGAAAAAAAAAAACAGAAATACTTTGAAAAACTTTTACAAGCGATACATATTTCAAGAAAAAATATTAATATCGTGACGTCACACATGAAAACAATAAACAAAAAATTCTTGAGAGACGTAAAACAGTTGAAAACTAACCTGAACAAAATAAACTACGAAATCTCTACAAAACATACTTAAATATCTATAATTGATAACAGAAGCCATTGGTTTATACCAACGGCTTCCCATACTTAATACTTCCCGTTTACACTCTCGCGTGGTCATGTGTGACGTCACTAGCTGCGACGCGATTTTCGCTTCCGCGTCTCGTATACACTAGTTAGTCGTTGCTTTGAAATATTTCATGCAACAAAAGCAGACTATCATTATGGTTTCGTTCGTGTATTGGTTGATATATTGAAAAGTAATTGTCATCTTTGATAATGGCTTATGTAAGCCGAAAGCTTAGATTGGATTTAAACATGTATCAATATGGTGATTTCCTTTCATCTTTCAACGATAATGTGATTAAGCTTATCAGACAATATGAAAGGAACTTACTTAAAATAAATAGGCAAAACTTGTTTATATTATTTAATGAAAGATGCATCAATGAAAAATTGCTGCCTAAATATACACAATATATATATATATATATATATATATATATATATATAGAGAGAGAGAGAGAGAGAGAGAGAGGTAACAAATGGGAGAATAGGATATACAAATTTCTCTATATCAAATCAATGTGAGATAATATTTAGACAAACGGGAAATATACTCTGTAACGTATTTCAACTTCTAAATGAACTTCATCAGAGTAAAGCACTCGTTGACATAATCGTGCATATGTGGATGTTGGGAGGAAAAATAAGCTCAAGATGTAGGGAAAATCTCACAAAATTAATCTGTTCATTAAAGAAACGCAATTGAAATCTTTCTCATATATATACATATATATATATATATATATATAATGGACGTATGAGGATCTGAGAGCTTAATTGATTCAGATATGAAATTTTGTGCAAAAATCTTAAGTGGCACTTAAGGAGGCCGCATATGGTGCAAGAGTGAGAATTGTGGGATGAGATCACTGTTAGATTGGCTGACCTTTTAGATCTTGCTCTCACTTCTTGAAGATGATTCAGACAAGCAGATTGAAAACTGTTGAGTCCACTAAAACACGTTGATCTCCATTCTACCTGCTCCAAGGCTAAGTTATTATGTGGTATGTTGACAGCTGACAAACAAATCAAGAAAATCAGCCAGAAAACCCACACAAAGTGATTTGATTAAAGTGGTGAATGGTGAATATATATATATATATATATATATATGTGTGTGTGTGTGTGTGTGTGTGTGTGTGTGTGTGTGTGTACATATATATATATATATATATATATATATATATATATATATATATATATATATATATATATATATATATTGAAATGCATAAATCTGACATATTTTTTATTTTTTTGTTTAAACATTACTTTTAAATGGATACTCATATTTGAGTAGACGTTCTGTTTTTATTCATTTATTAAACAATGTATTTTATATACATAACATCAGGAAGAGGCAGCTGAAGTTTCTGGCACACATAATGAGGAAGGAGGGCCTGGAGAATCTGATACTCACTTGTCGAATAGATGGAAAGAGAGACAAGGGAAAACAATGCGTGACATACCTGGCGGATTTAAGCCAGTGGATGACAGAACGTGGTCTGGGGGAGGAAGCAGAGGGAAGGAACTTGTTGAGAGCTGCAAGGGATAGAAGGAGGTGGAGAGCCATGATCGCCTACGTCCTGAAAGGACATGGCACATAAAAAGAAAGAATCTATTTATTTACATCTACTTGCCTAAACGTTCGAGAAACCTTGTTAGAAAAATATGAACCTTGGAGGAGTCAGGTTCGAATTCGGCCGTAGGGCGCATAATTTTACATAAGATTTCTCGAATATTCATGCCGGCAGATATAAATAAATAAATATAAACTAATCCAAAGATCTGAACTTATTTATGCATGCAAAATAATCCTCCTTAAAGAATTAATTAATATGAAACAGACATTTATCAATAATGGATTCCCTAATTTCATAGACGACAAGCAAATCTAATTTCATTTAAACAAAACTAATTTTAACAATCAACATAGTTACAAACATATTACTGATAATAACCCTATTAATATATATTACCCAAATCAAATACGCCATAATTACAAAAAAACAACGAAATGGCAACAAAAAAATTATATATAGATATATAAAACCAGTCGATTAAAACAAATACATCAGATTTATTATTTACGACAAAAATCCAAATATTAGCAACTTAGTTATTAAAAATAATATCCCCCAAAATTCCAACTCCTTATACTAGACTAATGTTACGTATGAATGTTTTTACCCACACGGAGAATGTTTCTCTTTAAATAAAAAAGACAATACGTCTTACGTAGGATACACAACAAATACTCTCTCACGGTGACCCATCTGCCACCTATTGGACCAGAGTTCCATCAGACAACACGTTAATAAACAGCATAAGGATCATCGTTACATAAGACAGCTCCTCGCAAACAATACCAAAATACTAGCAAAACCAAACAGTCAAAACAGACTTATGACCTTGGAAGCAATATTCATTCCACAAAAACAAACAACGATGAATAAAAACAATTAGAATTTAACAGGACGCATCCTCAAATGTATAGGTAAAAGAAAGAAAGAAAGAAAGAAAGAAAGAAAGAAAGAAAGAGAGAAAGAAAAAAAAACAGACGACAGAAAGAAAGAAAGAAAGAAAGAAAGAAAGAAAGAAAGAAAGAAAGAAAGGAAAGATGACGGCAAAAAAGAAAAATGATAAGAAAGAAAGAAAGAAAGAAAGAAACAAACAAACAAACAAACAAATGAAAGAATGAGAATATGACAACAAGAAAGAAAGAAAGAAAGAAAGAAAGAACGGAAAGATGACGGCAAGAAAGAAAGAAAGAAAGAAAGAAAGAAAGAAAGAAAGAAAGAAAGAACGGAAAGATGACGGCAAGAAAGAAAGAAAGAAAGAAAGAAAGAAGCAAACAAACAAATGAAAGAATGAGAATATGACAACAAGAAAGAAAGAAAGAAAGAAAGAAAGAAAGAAAGAAAGAAAGAACAGAAAGATGACGGAAAGAAAGAAAGAAAGAAAGAAAGAAAGAAAGAAAGAAAGAAAGAAAGAAAGAAAGAAAGAAAGAACGGAAAGATGACGGCAAGCAAGCAAGCAAGAAAGAAAGAAAGAAAGAAAGAAAGAACAGGAAGATGACGGAAAGAAAGAATGAAAGAAAAAAGAGAAGTGGATAAAACGAGAAGTTGAATTATACCAGAATTAATAGCAGCAATCAAAATTTGAAAATAAGGAATCACCCTTAACATTGGTAAATTCTATTTCTTTTGAAGCTAGTTGAGTTTTTCAGTCATTCTGCGAAAACTCATTTGTGTCCTTTTATTTTCATTTTTTTTTTTTATAACATTTGTCTCGGCTTACAGACAGACAAGATGAGAACTCCCAAGAATTCAACGACAGCTGTCTTCGAGATTGCATTTGGCCGTGGGAAATTATGAAATAAAAAAAGCAACGGTGTCGTCTGAGTGGGCGTCTATGCAGAATTATGTGCATGTACGGGTGTGTGAATTTATATGTCTTGGAGGAATATTGGTTACATATTCGAAAAAGCCGGTGTGTGTAGACCAAAGCAGAAACGACAAAAGAAAGGAACGTATTTACAGGTCAAAGCACTCTATGAGAAGACGATACCTATGGCTCTAGATTTTGGTTCAATTAGCGATATGGTCAAATTAAAAGAGGTGAGGATAAGGTTACTCGATAAACCAATTCTAACTTGTTTTTCATACACCTAATTTATTTTGTAAATAATATGGCAGCACATAGAATCAATACGAACATAACGTGTTGGTCAAACTTTGCTCGAATTAGAAGGTCAAACAACAGGACATGAATCGGCTCCATGAATTGGATGGTGCAAGTTCTAAAATGTAGGAAGATTGTGTTGTGCCAATGTCTTCCGGTAAAGGAAGCTAGCTTGTCGGTTTGCTCTGAAAAACCAACCAACATAGGCTGCCCTCGTTATCCGAAGATAGAGTTTTCCTTGAAACATTACGGGAGCCGAAATGACGTAAAACGAAAACGCCGTTATTTACACGAGAAAAAAAAGAGCGTTCCCTGACTCAAAAAATATTCTTGCGTGTGATTTTTTTACCTAAAACTGGTACCGCTGTAATTATAGCAGAAAAGAATTTTTTTTTTCTTTTTCAAAGAATGCGTTGCTTTTTGATTAGATCTAAGGAGTTTTCAACGTCTAAATTTTCAATGGTTTCTAGACCCTAAAAATCCCAAAGGTGTAGCAGTAGCAGAGAGCTAAGCAGTCATTTATATTGACGGATTTCAACCCGTAATCATTGGCCACAGACGACGACCAATCTCGACCTTCGACATCAACCGTGATTGATTTTTTTTTTTTTTTGGTGGAGGGGAACGCTGAAAATATTTTCAAATATAAATTAGTATTAATTGCGTATTCGCTTTACGCCATTTCGGATAACCGGGAATATCTCTCGTGCATTTGTGGGAGGAACGCTCAAAATATTTTCATATATAAATTACTATTGGTTGCTAATTCGATTTAAGCCATTTCGGATAACGGGGAAAATCTCTAGTTAAAATTAGTGCGAAACGAACATTCGTAAACAGAGGATAGCTGTATAAGCAACACTCGTCTTTATCTGAGTTTGAAAGTTGACCACTAGTTCTGATGATGTGAACTGAAGTCGCTCAGACATCATTGCAAGGCTTATATGTATTCATTAGTTTGGTTACGAATGATCTTGATAAAATAAAAATCAGCATCCTAATGTTTCTAAAAAGGTAAGACAAGATAAACCTTTTACAAACAGAACCTATGATCTGGAATTGGAATGAAGCGGCCATGGCACTTAATCTAAAAACAGCATAAAAATTCAAGAGGTTAAATTAACACTTCAACTACCACGATGTATGGATCAGCTGTAAAAGAAAATAATATAGGAGATAAGGAAATTGAATATAGTATAGGCTGCACAACAACAAAACATCTTATCAATAAGTACCAGAGGAAAGAAAGTCGCCGGTTCTTTCTGCAGTAGACTGGTTACCGACCAAGGCTAAAGGACGCAGTCTGCCCTGCTATTTCAACCCATTTTTTTAATCTTTTGTTTCCTGTTAGCTTTCGTTGGATATTTGTCCTTGATTTCAAATGTCAAAGTCTTTCTTACATACATCAATATAATTAATTATATCCCGAGTGTAACAGCAAAATTGTCTAAATCGTGTAACAGTATAATTGTCCATCCCACAAAATGTTTATTATCTAAAAAAAAAAACCCACTAAACTAACTGAGTTTCTTTTTTCTAGGTTTTCAGATAAAATGTATGGCCATCTTGACACCATTTGTCCTATGAATCACTAAAAGACACTTTGAATTATTCAGCTAGAAAGAGAACAGGTTAAAACTGTTTTGTGTCAGATCCACTGTCTCCCTAACTAAGCAAGTGTGAGAGGAAAAATATCATTCAGGCCTTCAGTAATGGTACCGACATTCATACTCTGACTTCCATCTTCAAACTCCATTCAAGAACCATCAAGAGAACGACTAATGAGGAGGTCACAACAGGAAGAGGGATCATCATTTCAACTTAGAGATCAATTAGAAAAGATCCAACTCAGAATTTAAGGGTAGTACTTGATTGGCAGTTAGGTCTCATCATGATCAATGTTGAAATTGCTAGATATGTAACTATACATTCTTTTCTAAAAGTTTCCCATTAGGCACTTCTCACCTGTGGAACTCTGTCTAATCTCTACAACCTACAAAAATTTAAATGCAACGTCCGCTGTTTCCTTCAATCCTTTTCTTTTGGCTGTCCTTTCTTCCTAATAACATTTTCTCAATTCCCTTCCTTCTCAGTAACCCACTTGGGTTTTAGTGGCTTTATCACCTTACATGTGGTGGGATGATTAATAAAAAAAAATGAAATCAGCAAAAATGAAGAAACCGTGGATAGCTATGGCCACCATATCCTGAAGGGTCAAGGTTCTTAGAAAGAATAAATAGCTTAATAAAATTTGATTACCTGCAAGTTTAGCTGCCCCTTTGATAGCTTGCTGAGCCCGATTTCCATTAGCCCTTTCTTATTCTGGCCTTGTACCAAACTAAGCTGAATTTAGTAAATACTAGCAGTAGAGGCCGGCGTTGCCCGGGGATGCAACAGTAAGAGATAGATCAAGTATCGGCCATCATAAAGACTGAAAAATAAAACTGACAAAGATTATTGTTTAAGGTTGACGGACACGCATGTCTTAAATAGTTTTTTTGTTTTGTTTTTTTGTTTGTCTTTTTACGAATTGGTCAAACCCAAACTCAAAGAAAAACATTGTTTTCAATCGTTATGAGTCTACCGATTGAATAGAATTTTATTATAAACAATTGTCTTGTAAATGGAATTTTTAAAGCATTCTGAAAGTAAAAATAAAGAAAAAAGTGTGCAAGACAATAAGAAACACTACCTGCCAAAAAAAAAGTGAAGTTTTGTTGAAATCGGTTGAAAAATGTAGGAAATCTGATCCCATATATAAACGAACACACACACAAACAACCTGAGTTTTATAATAAGCATAACTCGATATGAGTTGTCCTCCTTTCATTCCGCGTAAGCGAAGCCTCTTAATCGTGTTTTCAAATTGATTTCGTGCAAAAACAATTGTGTTTTTCCAATTTTTGGCGCTGTCAGAACCACCGCAACGTAATTTTATGCAGTCCTGTGAAGTTTTGTTGAAATCGGTTGAAAAATGTAAGAAATCTGATCCAATATATAAACGTACACACACACACACACACACAATCTGCGTTTTATAATAAGTAAGATCTGAAAAGGAAAAAACAACATTGGTCACCGACATATTAACATCTCTTTCTTTGGCTCTACTTTTTCATCCATCCGTGCACCAAAGTGGGAAAACATTCTAATATGTGTTTTTTTTTTTCTTTTTAAGATGTAAATATAATTCTACCTCCCAACAGCTTGACCTCAGGACGAGACAAGCCTACTTAGAATTGACGATGTGGTATAAATATTAACATTCCTCGGTGCTATAAAGAGACGAAAAACAATTCTTGTACTACAGGTCCAATGAACACAGAACAAGTCTGTCATATACATATAATCGTCTTCTCTAAAGCTCTGATTTACCTTCGAGTTATTCGCCATATTATGTCATATAGAGTAGTTTAACCAAATCTATCAGAAAATAAGATTTATTTTACACAAAAAGACTAAAAAAAAAGTACCATCTCCTGATGCCACCTTAATATGTTTTATTATAACCAAACACGTTTATATGCAAAACAGAAATCCAAAAACGCGTAGGACTAGCGAGAGATGTCTTACAGAAACTATGCAAAGTAATACGCGATCGGAAAATTTCAAAACAAAGAAAAGATTGATTGGCTTACTTTTAACGGCTTATCAACCGTTTGCAGGTTATTTAAAGCCAAAAAATATTTCTAGGTTGTAAATCTTTTTTTAGATAATAATGATTTTTTACTTCTAGAAGTTCTACTATTTAATCCATAGCTAGTGGGAGAAGAGCTGTAACGCGTAATATATGAATACACATCTTCTAAGTGAATATAATGAACCCGGCTAGAACTAGAACTTGGCTCTGCGATTTCCAATTCGGAGCCGTTATCCATTACACCACCCGCACATCTAAACTGACGGATCAAAGTTGGCTGGAAATCAAGGAATCAGAAGGGAGTTCCACAAGCGAGAAGTGCGAGAAAGGAAACTGTTAGCATAGAATTTACGGTTGCATCTAGCTAGCACAACTATAAATTTATGAGACCTCGTCGCTAGTCTCATACTGCGCTTAAATTCATAGAGTGTAGCAAGCATATCGGAAAGCATTATTAATTTGTACAAATACAAAACGTGGTACAAGTCCAAAAATAGCGAATGGGGAAAAGAAAGGCCTTCTTCTGTCTTAACGTTAAACTTAGCTAGCCACAAAAACTGACGCAAGCATACAATATTCCTTACATTGAAACAACGCTTTCTTGCTTACCTTTCTTACTACATTCACCATAATACCACAATGTCTCTATGAAAGTCTTAACTAGTCCCCTTATGTACAATTCATTGTCTGTGAGAGGAGGGAAATAAAACAACAACTAGCCCCAATGAGTATTTGCAATATGAAAGCAAAACTATTTACAAGAAACTAAACAAACACGCTCTCTAAATGTGGCAGAAACATCAGTTAATTGGAGGAAATAAATGCAGGACTTCAATAATACAAAAACAATCATTCACCCCAAAC